GGGGGGGGGGGGGTGGGGGGTGGTGGAGGGGGAGGTTTGGTTGAGGCTCATGGCTCCCTCCTCATTCCAGCAGGGAGCCCAGGGTCCTTCTGGCAGCTCAGTGGTCATCATGGGCTGGATGCAGATGTCAGAGGGCGTGGCTGAGGCCCTCCGCCCCAAACTTCCCCAGCTTGGGAGTCCAGGGCACTTCTGGCGGCAGCCTGGTGGTAGTTGCTGGGCTGAATGCAGATGTTGTGGGGGCATGCCCCCTCATGGCTGAGGCCCACTGCCCTCCCCCCTACCCCAGCTTGGAGCTTGGGGGGCTTCCGGTCTTTCTAGGTTTTATAGGTGTTCTTTGGCGTGGCGGTGTTAAGACCTTTACTGGTTAATATCAGAACTTCGATCTGTGGGTTTTTTGTTTTTTTCTTTCAGTTCTGTGTTGGATTATTTGCAGTTCCCACCACTTAAACTCTGCACTGGAACTAATTTGTTGTCTTTTGCTTACATCTAAAATGGGGGAACTTCCTGTGGGGACCAGCACTTGAGCCCTGTGGTTGAGCTAAATTGCTACATTGTTGCTGATTCTCTGGAGAAGGCTTTTTGTGCAGCTCACATTTTAATTGTTGACCTTGTAAGCACTTCTGGGTCTTGTGAGGTCCAGTACATCTGGGTTGTGTGGAAACTCTGGTCTGGGCTTGAGTCTTACAAGCAAACTGTACCCCCTGCAGTTCTGTATTCCTGACAAGTCTCCACTGAGTGGGCCTGTGCTGACTGGAGGGCAGATCAGCTGTCCTTGCTGTGCCCCAGTGTTCCCCCGCCGGTGGCCTGTCTCCCCCACCCCCGCTTCCCATGAGATGGGTTGTACGCCAGTCCCTTGTGATGACTCACTAGCCTCTGAGTGGCTTTTTTCAGTTATTGTGGTTCCTCGCTCCTATGTGGGTCCATGAGAACCCTGTCAGTGGTCTTGATGGTCTGGGGGCCACCAAGGCCGTCTTCTCCCCTGCAGCATCCAGGCAACTTCATATGAAGGACAGAGCCGTGGCTTTTGCCACCTATTGTTCCGTGTGCTCACCAGGGCCAGCCTCGAAGTGATCAGGGCTTCAAACAGTCGGAACAATCCTTTCTCTCTCTCATCTTGGCTTCTCCTGCCTTCATCAAGTCTCTCCTCCTCTTCCTCTGAGCTCTAGTGGCCCCGGCTTGGCAGTCATTGCTCTTTAATAGTTGTAAATTGGTTGACTGTGGGAGAGGGTGACACTAGGAACCGTCTATTCTGCCATCTTGATTGGAAGTCCAATAGTCTCCTATTATCCAGCACTACCATAGATAAAACTCTTCTGTTAGCTATGTTTTCTGAATTTTAGTCTATCTGATAGGCTACTTGTAAAATACATCAAGATTATGCAGTGTTTTCATTTAAATAGTTCTTGTAATACACTGGACTAGGAATCTGAAGACTTAGATTCTGGTATGAACTTCTTTCTAACTAGTCATGAGATCTTAGGCCAGTCATTTAACCTTCCAGAAGCCCGATTTCCTCAACAGTAAATGAAAGAAATAAAATATATCATGCCTTTTATTTTGCTGTGGGACTCAACTAAGAAAATATCTGTGGGGCCGGCCCGGTGGCGCACTGCTATAGTGCGTCGCTTGGGAAGCGCGGTGGCGCTCCCACCGAGGGTTCGGATCCCACATACAGACCGGTTCCCGCTCACTGGCTGAGCGAGGCGCGGGAGCAACACCGAGGGCTGCGATCCCGTTGCCGGTCCTGGTCCGGTACGGGGGCGATACTGAGGGTTGCGATCCGTTGCCGGACACGGAAAAAGACAAAAAAAAAAAAAAGAAAATATCTGTGAATGCATTTGCAAAAACTATAAACTAATATACATTTGTAAGGTGTTATTACCAGTAAATTCCTAAGGAATACCCAAATCTTCTGTATAATATTAATATCAGCCATAAGCAGAACAGTCCACTCTTCCTCCATAATTAATTCCTTATTTAATCCTGCAAAACCGATAAGTATACTGACTGAGATCATCTCCAGATTCACACTGACCTGAGCTCAACTCTTGATTGTGATGGATTAATGACAGCCACAAATTCTTTGCCACTCTTCCTTATTCCCCTTCCCCTTGAATCTGGGATAGCCTTATGACTGACTTGATCAATGGAACACAATGGAGTGTTAGCACACAACTTCTAAGGCCAGGTCTTAAGAGAGCTGCGGCTTCTGCTTTCACCTCCAGAAACACTCCCTATTGGAAGTCAACTGTCACATGAAATTCTGACTACAAACAACAAGAAAGCCCCAGCTAGCCACCAGAAAAGAAAAGAGGTCACATGCAGGAGCAGCTAGGCCCCAGACATATGAACGAAACCTTCTCAGACCTTCCGCCCTAACCCAGCCACCAGCAGAATGCAGCCAAATGAGCAGAACTGCCCAAAGCCAAATTGTGAGAAAATAGTTGTTGTTGTAAATCAGAGGTTGATGAACTTCTGTAAAATGCCAGAGAGTAAATATTGTTGTCTTTGTGGGCCAACCACTCAACTCTGCTATTGAAAAAAAATACACATATGGGAACAAAATCAATCTGGCTTGTTCTAATAAAAGTTTATTTTCAAAACAGGTAACGGGCCAAATTTGGACTGCAGACTATAGTTTTCTGACCACTGTTTTAAATCACTAAATTATGGGGTAGTTTGTTATGTGTTAATACATACCCCAAATACTGGCTGAGCCCACTTACAGCTGTGAAAGCTCCAGCCAAGTTTTTTGATGTTAAGTCTCAATTTTCTCATCTGTAAAAATGGCAAAATAGTAGTCCTATACCTCATAGTTTTATCATAAAGAGAGGAAGATATTAACTGCTCCATATAATGACTGCACATAGTAAACATTCCATTGTTTTAATTGCTATTAATTTATAAAATAGATATTGGCAGGGTCAGAAGTTAGTAAAAGGTACTCTCCTAATGTTTCCAGGCCAGATCCACAACACTGCTGACCCGATTTCCATTCCTTTGGGTATATATACTCAGTAGTGCATCTGCCCATTTTTTCCTCTAGGTTGTCTTTTTATTCATTTTTAGGAGTTTGCTAATCACTTACATGTGTTACACTATATTCTTTCAGTTTGTTTCTTATCCTGTGCCTTTCCTTATGGTCTCTTTTGATAAGCATAAGTCCTTGATTTTAATGAAATCAGACTTATTGGTCATTTCCATTATGGTTTATGTGTCTTACTTAAGAAATCCCTCACAATTCACAGTCATGTATATACTCTTATATTTTTTCTAAAAATTGTCAAGTTTTACCCTCAGCATTTAAGTCATTAATTTATCTAAAACTTTGTTGTGTGTGTTGCGAGTCAGGGGAGGTCTCATCTCATTTTTTCTATAAGGGAAACATTGTCACAGCATCACCTTTCCCACTGACCAGCAACACCATCTCTGCCATGCATTCACCAAGTTTCCATATATGCATGGTTGCTTTGTTTGTTTTGGTGTCACTGTCGAAAAGGTTAGAATAAGCTGTTCTTTAAATGTCTGTTAGGGGCCGGCCCCGTGGCGCACTCGGGAGAGAGCAGCACTCCCGCCGCGGGTTCGGATCCTATATAGGGATGGCCGGTGCGCTCACTGGCTGAACGCGGTGTGGGCAACACCAAGCCAAGGGTTGCGATCCCCTTACCGGTCACAAAAGAGGACAAAAAAGAAAAAAAAAATGTCTGTTAGACCCACCTGTAAAACTATCTGGAACTGAGGTCTTTTTGTTTGTTTTTATAAGATTTCTAATTACCAGTTTAATTTTTTTTGACAGTTGTAGGATTATTCTAAGTTTTTCTTTGCTCTTTTGTATTAACCCAAAGAGAAATGAAAACATATGTTTGCAAAAAAAAAAAGTTCATAGCAGCTTTATTCATAATGGCAAAAACCTGAAAACAACACAGTTGTCCATCAGTAAGAGACTGGATAAACTGTGGTATGGTAACATAATGAAATACTACTCAGCAATAAAAATGATGCAAAACGACATGCTGAATTTCAGAAAAATTATGCTGAGTAGAAGAAGCCTTCTACAAAAGAATACATACTATGTGATTCCCTCTATTTTAATTTGTAGAACAGGCAAAACTAATTTATGACACCCCAAAAAGAGTCCCAAAAGCAATTGCCTCTGAGCATTTGGGGGTGGGGCTTGACATTTGACATGAAAGAGGCATGGGGGAATTTTCTGGAGTTATGATAAGCATTTATAGGTTGACAGTGGTTTGAGTTACACAGGTGTCGTATTTCTCAAAATTCAGCAATTATACACTTAAGATCTGGGGCATTTCATTGTATGTACACTTTACATTAAAAGAAAAACTGTAAACACTGAAATCAAGTTAATGATGTACACGCTGAAGTCTCAGGAGAATACTAGTATCACTAATTTATTTTAAAATGCATTAAAAATTAAAGTGGATTAACGGATGGATAGGTGATAAAGCAAGTATAATAAAAATGTTAATTGTAAAACCTAGGTGGTGGGTGTGTGAACATATACTATAAAATTCTTTCACCTTTGTTTTATCTTGAAAATTCTCATGACAAAATGTTAGAGAAAACATTACTCCAAAGTCACATTTTTACTTTTTAAATGTGGCGATTTTATGTACTTATAATTTACTTCTTTAACAAATTAAGAATAGGAGTTAGTTTGTTCATGAAATTCTTGAGTGAGTGACAAAGTAGAAAACACCATCCTGTACCTGAGTCTACAGCTTCACTTCTTGATTTCTTCCTTTTGCCACAAGACATCTTCCCTTTTTTCTGAGTTTTCTACAAAAACCAAAAAAAAAAAGGCATGGATTTTTATTTAAGAAAAGTTTGTTTTCTTAAAACTTGAAGATTACAAAAGCAGTATTAACAAACACTGTCATTCACTACTTTAGCTACAACTCTCATCTAGTTCTAAATTAATTATTAGTTATATACATTATCTAAGTTAATATAAGGAAGCATTATAAAAAATTAAATAAAACTGTCACAAAATAAGAAAAAATAAAACTTCCAGTTGACTTGTAAGATCGTTGGCTTGGATGGAGCTGAACTGTTTTATTTAAAATAACAATCTGTGGAATCAGCTCAGAATTCTGCTCCCAGCAATGATGAGGAACAGCTACTGAATTAGCTCTCTTGCCACAAACAACCTAACTTTAAAAATTAAATAAAACTGTCACAAAATAAGAAAAAATAAAACTTCCAGTTGACTTGTAAGATTGTTGGCTTGGATGGAGCTGAACTGTTTTATTTAAAATAACAATCTGTGGAATCAGCTCAGAATTCTGCTCCCAGCAGTGATGAGGAACAGCTACTGAATTAGCTCTCTTGCCACAAACAACCTAACTTCGGGGGAAAAGGGTGGCGACTTTATTCATGCGTCAGTCATTAGGTAACACAAGACTGAGCCCACTGATAAAAGGAAAGCTCAGGTGAACCCACCTACATCTGGGGACAATTTCTAGACAGCAGCATAACAGGCTGCAATCCAAGCACAGCACGGTGACCCTACTCAGCTGAGAAGGCAGAGCTCACAGTATGGGGCAGCTGAAGCAGTTGGAATAAGCAACTAAAAGGTGAAGACCAGGAGTCTGTGTAGGGATTCCTCAGAAGTCTCACCCTACACATGTGCAGGGTGAGACTACATAAAGTTTAGCAGAAGGAGGCTCTTATAGGATTAAGGACCTAACAAGAGAGTGACATCAGTAAGATGGAGGGGTAGATGATCCCCCTGTTGCTGGCTCCTCCCTCCATAAGAAATCAACTAGCAACGATTAAAGAACAACTAGAACTAAATAACAACTAGAACGATAAATCACCATAATTCAAGGGAAAAGGCTAAGAGGCATGCATGCTGAGCGCAGGAACGTATGGAAAGTCACAACAAGAGGGCAGAAGGATCACGTCAAACCACTCCATCCCCACCCCTAAGCCAGTGTGGCACAGAACACAGAGAAGATCCCCAGAGATAGCAAAGCCGATGGCATAGCACTGTTCATGAGAAGCTACTCATAGCCCGAAGTGGAGAAAACTGCCACAACTGCTGGGAAAAAAGATCACTTAAGAACACTCCGCCCCACCCCTCAAGCAGGTGGAGCTGCTCCTCTGAAATTCCTCCTGAAGTTCCACTGCACCCCAATGGGTGGAAGGAGCCGCAACCTGCAGAGGAAAGGAGCACTTCAATCGCTCCATCCCTTTTCCCAGGCTGCCACCGCACTGTTCACAGAGAAGGCCACCAGATTTGTGATCTCGGAAGTAAGAGGAGAGAGTAGAGGTGTGTGTTTGATTTGCCCAGTGGTCTGAGAGTCTGCACAGGGGAAACACCCAGGGCCAGATCCACAAGAGCCATTTGGAGTAGGAGGGCAGGCTGATACACCAGGAGTGCACTGAGGTACCACATTGGCAGCTGATCTGTGTTCTATCAGCATGAAGTCCCAGAGTGGAGAAGGGATGGCGCCACAGTTCTGTAGTGGACATAATCTGTGGAACACTCTGTCCTGAGCCACATTTTCCATACAGTGCAGTTGCTCCTGTGGAGTCTTCCCATGACCTGGAAGTGACTAACAGGCCAACATTTAAATTCTGGTCCACACAATAAGTCCTCTCCAGACTGTGAAACAACACCAAGGCAGCAATTTAGCTCAGGCACAGTATTCAAATTCTGATCCCACAATAAATCTTCCCCACACTGGGAATCAATAGCAGGACAGCGAGTTAGTACCAGTGCAGCCGTTAAGCGGTGGTGGTTGCTATAAACTCTCCATAGAATGGAAACAACTGCAGGTCAAAGATAAAGTTCTAATATTGAGCAGTAAAGGTCTGACACCACCAAAGAACACCTGCAAAAGATGGAAAAATCAGTTGTCTCCTCGAATGCACAGGTATCAGTGTAAAGACACAAAGATTGAGACGGAACAGAGAAATATGACACCACCAAAAGAAACCAATAAAACTCCAGCAACGGACCAGAAGTATAGCAGATTTATGAAATGTCTGACAGAGAATTGAGAATAATCCTCTTAAAGAAGTTCAGAAGGTCACAAGAAAATACGGACATAAAATTAAATGACTTTTAGACAAAAATCCAGAATGAGAAACTAGACATAGAATAAAAAAAATTCTAGAAATAAAAAATACATTATCTGAACTGAAAAACTTGACAGAAAGCTCCAAACAGCACACTTGATCAACAGAAAGAACCAATTGAGCTCAAAGACAGAACATACAAAATTACCCAAAGAAACAAAAATAAAATAAAAAATAAAACATTCCTACAGGAATCATGGGACATGATAAAGCAAAACAATCTATGCATAAATGGAGTATCCAAAGGAGACAACAGAGGAAAAAAACCCAGAAAGCATATTTAAAGAAATGATGGCTGAAAATTTCCCAAGGATGGAGAAAGATTATAGCATCCAGGTACAGGAAGCTCAGAGGTCACTAATCAAATTCAACCCAAAGAGGAATTCCCCAAGGAACATCATAATCAAATTATCAAAATCCAAAGATAAAGAATACTGAAAGCAGCAAGAGAAAAAAAGCACACAACATTAAATGGAGTCCCAACACCACCAGTATTATACCATATTGTAGTATAATCATGGTATAATTCAGTTTACTGTAGAACAGATCAGTAATTACAAAGGTATTTGCTTTGCCTTCCCAACAAAATCTACCCTCACCTACATGCCAGCTATTAAAGGCAGGTGTCATTACGATTGACCACGCCTCAGGTATTTCTGGGTTCCAAGTTAACTGGGGACAAAGCCAATCACTCTGTCTCACCTTGCAGGCTTGTACTGAGACTGATTTCCACTGTTATTATACAGCAGGACCCACGTCCCTCCTACAGGGAAGACAGTAGTGGTATTTAGAATAGTTCCTATCCCTACTAACTGTATGGAAGGATATGTTTTATTTTGCACTATTCTGGGGCTGAGGGCAACCATAGTACATTAATGTAAATTACAAGTGCCCCCAGAGAATTCTCATAAGTTTGGGGGGGGCCATAAAATTCCCACGGGTATGTCCCTTGAGCCTCAGCAGCCAGGAGAGGGGGCCACTGCCCCATGGCCATTTTAGCCTCCATTTGTAGTGAAACAGTCAAGAGGCCCTGATGGGTCTGAGTATAAGTGCTTTCCCAAAGGTGGGTTTTAGCATTATCCAGCATTATTTGTTGAGTCTGCCTTGCCTACTCTAAAGCTTCATTATCTTTCCAGGCTGACTCCTATCCTTTGCCTTCCACCTGGAAGAGAACTCTGAATGTTGCTCCTCATCAAAAGTGAATTCAGCTTGTCCCAGGATACCTAGTTGGGCACCTATCTCCCTACGGCCCTTTTCTGTCTTGTGGGCCAGTGTTATTTAATCCACCATGCATGTTGTTGCCACTGTGTACTAATGGCCTGAATACAGTTTGAATACGTGTTTTGTACCCAGAAATGTTGCATTTCCCCATACTAAGGTTAGATGTACAGTCACACCCAGGTGTAATTTAATGAGAGTGTGCCATAAGGCCTTCCACACCTTTCTTTGTCTCGTGGGGCCATTCCCCAGGGGAACTTGGATCCACCAAGTGATGCCAATCACTTTAATCCTATCAGGAACCCACTGCTTTTTCCGTATTCTATTGGATAGCTTTTCATCCACAAAAACAAGGGTAATACACGTTTCTGCACAGCACAATGTGGCATGTTGAGCATACTGCCATCATATTTTGTCCTTTATAACCAGGGACCTTTCTAAGCATATGATCATCAAGGTTTACAGTTACATAGTGATCAGTCTGCTGGGAGTCATACAGCAAATGGTTTGAAGTTCCACTAGGAAGCAGTTCTCAGAAATTCTTCTCCAAATGGTATCTTTTATGGTAATATGTGTCTCCAAATGGTATCTTTTATGGTAAATGTAACCTGAAAAATAGGATTCAAAAGATACCAGCACATTACTAAAGTTGAAGTTCCACTAGGAAGCAGTTCTCAGAAATTCTTCTCCAAATGGTATCTTTTATGGTAAATGTAACCTGAAAAATAGGATTCAAAAGATACCAGCACATTACTAAAGTTCCATTTAGTCATTAACATTTGGTCCAGTTCAACAACATACTGCATGACCAGAATGTCTTCCAGAGAGATGTCACTCAGGTTTGCAGGCTGCCATCCAACTTTGTCAGGTTCCAAAAGCAGGGTAGGTCTTGGCAAACATATAGTTTCAGCCTTCCAGGCATCCGGTATAATTGTGCTAAGAAATAATACTATTCTCTTGCTCTGAGCTTTCTCGAAGTATTAATACAATGTTGAATTTCCCTTGCTGTATACCCCGCTTATTCCTTCCTTTACCCTCAACAATTTCTCCTTCTCTCCATTTGTCATTTATTTTTACCCAAGCTTTTCCATCTTTGGAAGAAACATTAGGTTTAGCCACTGTGCTGGTCAAGAATGCTGGCAGCTACTAGTCTAACAAGTGCCTCCTTTCAGTCCACTCCCATTCATACAGGTACAGGCCTAGTGGGCTATCCCAACCACGAGGCAACACAGGTAGCATATACTGTCAGTCCTAATTTGATAGACGAGTGAAGGCACAACCCACCCCCATCAGGACCTTAGGAATTTTGACATAAAGTTTAAAAACACATTACAGTTTTTTGTTTAGGAATCATCCCTGCTTCTAGCACTCCTACTTGCAGCTCTGGTCCTGTGACCACTACATCAGGTAGGGGGGAAAAATTGAGG